GAGCCGGCCAGGGCAGCAGCACTTATCTTGAATTTATGATGGATCCTTGCCGAAGTATTTTATGAAGTTTTAGTATGCAAACCCCAGGCATAAGAAACATGAAGAAATCTACACCAAGGTATGTAGTAATCACATTACTCAAAACTAGGACAAAGAGAAAACGTTAAAAGCAGCCAGGAATAAAACATCTCCGAAAAACAAAGACAAGGATGACGGAAGATTCTCATCGGAATCAGCCCAACCAAGAAGGCGGTGAAGCAGCATCTCTAAAGTCCTGAAAACAAGCAAGCAAACCAAACACTGTGAACCCAGAATTATAGACCCACTCAAAGATCTTGAAAAATGAAGGCAGATTAAGGATGTTTCCAGAAAAACAAAAGCTGAAAGAGTTCACCACCAGAAGAACTACACTGGAAGTGTTGAAGGAAGCCCTTCAGGCAGAAGGCCTGGGTGAAAATATATTTTGAACTTTTGCACCGTGACCCTCCATCTGCGAGTCAAAAGTTCAATTTTGGCAATAACCACCGTGGTTTATAAAGAAGCGTTTGTGCAATTATTTGTAAATACAAGGAATTAAGCAATTTCATTCAGCCCAGATTCCGGACAAGCAGTGGCTCAGGCCCCAGGTGTGATGGACATAATTTTTCTGTCCAGCAGCAGTTTGCATTTTACCCTTTAGGAAGATGAGAGGAAAATGGAAAATTTAAAGAGCTGATGTCAGCGATGGAAGGCATAGTTTTCATAAAACTTATGCGACAGGCAGAGATTGAAAACATCATGTGTGTAAAGACAGGTCAGTCGGTTGTGTTAGATTGTAAAGGACAAGGTTAGTATGTCCACAATGTTGGAAATATAGTATCGAAAATTATGTGTACAATGCAGAGAGTAACTAAAGATAATGTATTGTTTTTCACTTTCAGAGAAGGAACTATCTCCCACCCCCACCCCAACTTCTATTTTGGCACTGCAGTCTTTGTTGGATTGTCACATTTGACTTGTGTATTTGTAATAACACATTGTGTAAAAAAGTGGGAAAGTACTTAGGGGCCCATAGCACTTCCCTTTGGAACATAGCGTGTTATTTCCCCTGTTACCTTGTTCTGTTGGTGCTGGGAAACAGCACGGGAAATGATCAGGCAGGCATGCGATCAGGAATGGTGGTGTGTGGTCAGTTAGACCCCCCCCAAAATTCAAGAATTCTTTGGATATGAAATGAAGTGTTCACAATCATTAACTGCAGCATTTTACTGTTGCAATAATAAATGTTCGCATATATTTCCACTGATGGCTAGAATTTCAACATATTAAACACATAAAGAGATGATCTCAACATAGAAAACACATAGAACAATGACTTCAGGTATTAACAATAATGCCGTATGACATGCCTTGACTGTATAACTGACTTCATTACATGTATTAAATATTCACTCATTTAACAAATATTTACTAAACACAAAAAAAATTCAAGAATTGTACTGAAAAAGACTGGTGCCCCTTCTAGTACCAGGACTGAAGAACATTTAAGATTTTAATACAACTTAACTTTCGTTGATATTCTGTCTTCTCCCCTTTTGCAATTACCTGAGTTTTCCGCTCTGTTTCCTGGAAAAATTCTGACTCCTGCTTTTTGCCGAGTCTTTCGCCCTTCTTTAATTCCAGGGGAACCTGGTCAAGTCTCATCGCGTGGACCCCACCGAGAGCTGATTTGCTGTCATAGTTAATTTCAAACTGCTTCATGATGTATTCCTCATCAATCTTCGAGCTGCCCTGGAAGAGCATCACATTGCACAGGTCAAAGGCAAATGGCGAAATGCTCCTTGCTTTCCTCTTTAATCTAAAGGAGGCATTTGACCATGGCTGGAGAAGTGGTAGTTTGGAGGAAAAGTAGAAAATGCTCAGTCGGCATTCACTGGAGACAAGAAGTACAGCTGACCCTTGAACAACGTGGTGGGAGGGGGCGCTTAGGGGTGCTGACCTCCAGCACAGCTGAAAATCCTGTATAACTCTTAACTCCCCAAAAACCTAACTACCCTTGGCATTTTCGGGGAAGAGGGGTGCGAGTGGGAGGGGAGGAGTGTTGGTTCCAGGGCCCTCCCACCACACCCCACCTGCCCTCGCA